CCTGCTCCCCACTGCACCACAGCCTTCTGCAGGGTGAGCTGCGGAGAAACAGTAACTCTGAGTGCCCTCAGCAAGGGGAGGTGCTGCCTTCACGCTCAATGTGGTGAAACACTTTCAGCCTTCCAAAAGCTCTTGGGTAAAGTAACCCTATTTCCCTGCTCTTTTTAAAGAAACCGAAACACACACAAGCTGGGGGCTTGTTCAAGCAGTTGTGGGGAACTGGCAGCGATGCCACACTGCGGAGCAAGGAGCCTGATCCCACGTTTGTACCAGCTCACCAAGCCCTCCACCCTGGAAAGTGCATTGAAAAAAACCCAGGACTTTACAGAATCGCTATCTGAAAAAACAGTTGTATTTGGTTTTCTCCTCCCTGTTGTTTCAAACAAGTTTCAAATCCAGGTCAGGCCCTAGACTCCATGTGATGGGTCAAGTGCAGGGTTGAACGTGCAGCCACGGAAGCCATGACGATGCCCACGGCTCACTGCAGACACCCATCTTGCTGTCTCAATGTCCTGCAGCATTCCTCCCCACAATCCTCCCTGCTCTCTTCAACACCACATTTGAGGAAAATTATAAACCAGCATTTTTTTCCCCTAATTGAAGTCAAGACTTGTGTAGGAGCTTCTCTGTAGCTTACGCTTTCCCAGCACGGGAGGTTCACATAGTTACTTCCTACAGACACTCAGGTGTGTAACTAATCCAAGCCTCCCAGGGCAGCCAGCATCTGTGTCCCTGCCATATGCTTAATTAATGCTTGGTGGGAGAACTGATAAGAGGCCTTGCTGCACCCTGCATGGGAGAAAATGTTTCACTTAGCAATTCTCACTCATGCAGTTAACCATTTCCTCAGCTTGCTCTGACAGCTACTGGCCTTGGGCAGGAAGGGATGTACCTGGCTTAGCAGTGCCAGGCAGCAGCCTGACACACAGAACAGCCCTCCCCACCATCTCCCATGTATCCTTGGCCAAGGAGGTGCAGATTATTGCTGCCTGTAGCTGGACATTTCAAGGTTTTATAGGTTAGGTTGTAAACTGTGGAAAACAGGATGTGTTTGAACAACACCTTGGACAACAGTCTGGTCCGTGAGGAGGACTCTTGGGTATTCCTGAATAACACTTACTAGTGATCACATCCACCACACTCCTGTTGCTGCTTGCTGGCTTTCACCTGCACCACACTGCCCAGTTCAGGGATCTGCAAAGCACCTCACACCACACAGCCCCACCTTGGCCTGCTGTGCTGCACTGGCAAAGTGAGAACCAAACGCTTCAGTACTCTGAAGGGAAAGCTGGAAGAATTTGCTAGAGCTACCCTCTCCCTTGCTGGTGCTTTACTTGGAGAGGAGTCACTGCTCAGAGCCATGCATAAACCCTCTCCTGCACCATGAGCTGTTTGCAGACAGGTTTTAGTCTTGTTCCCTGGGGCTGCAGCCATTCTAAAAGCCGGGTATGTAAGCAAACAGGCTTGTTATTGGTAAGAGCAAGTGTCGCTTGCCCAGCCTGCTCTTCTCCGCCACTTGGAGCTCATGAGTAAGCACTGACACTCGGACAAGGGTTTGCAGCACACTGCACAGCCTGGGCATCCCACAGCACATCCAACAGGTGAAACAAAAAAAACCTCAAACCATCTTTAATTTCAAGCAGACTAACCAAAATTCCACCAAATTCATCAAGGCCTTTTTCTGTACAGGTGAGAATTGGCTTCATAATTCCTTTCTCCACTCTCTTTTGGCAGCAGATTCTGCCTTTCTCTTCCCCACCTCCTTCCCCATCCTATTTCTTCTTTTACTTCCAGTGCCTCATGTGCTGTGCGCTCCTAAGCCCATCTCCCCTTACTGCAAAACAGAGAAATCAGAATAAACAAGTGTAAATTAGCACTTTGCTAGCCCCAGTGTTTCTCACAGCTTGAAAATGGTATTACGTATGTAGGTGTTCAGTAAGCCAGCTCCACAAGTCATCCACTACAGAAAGGCAGAGAGCTTGCAAGTTACGCCTTGAAACCAAAGTGCAACACTCCTAGCATCCCAGGAAAAAAAACTCCCAGCCTGCCCTAAAATCAGTGGCCAGGAGGTTTACGTTTGTCCAAGATGAATGAACGACTGGAGAGTTGAGAAACAAAAATCTGTGCAAGGGCTGAGGCATAACTCATGACACAGCACGTCTCTCCATTTGCTACGGAAACTATGTTTGGCAAGTATCAGGTGTCTGTATTTCTGCTTATGTACGTCTCCCAGGACAGGAGGATATTAATAACACAGGCAGCCTAAAAACAGACCCTATCACCAAGAAAAGCTACTCTTCTGCTGAGAGTTCCTTGCAGAAGCTTGGGTATTGTTGTGCTCGATGCAAACAGCCCAGAATTTTGTTTCCTTGCTTTTCAGATCTGCCACCTAAGCTGATCTCAATTGAAGGAAGACAAATAAACAAAAGGAAGGGAAAGGAAAATAACAGCAGGAAGCAAACCTCATTGTAAGCACAGCTTTCCTGAATGTCTTCCCATCAAAGCTTACACTGCCATGTGAACATGGAGAGCGAGCAGCAACCAGGGTACAAGGCAGAAACCTCTTCAAGGGATCTACAGAAGTATGAAGTGCCTGGAAGCTCAACAGTTCACTGGGATAGCCCCGGCATGGCAAGCAGCATGGGAAGAGTCAAACACAGAAGAAAGCATCAAGCAGACACAGGCTTCCAGGCAGGGGCAGTGCACCAGGCACTGACAGGAGCCCAGTAACAGAAAAGCAACACCTGGTTAAAAATGCAGGCCAAGGGGCTGGAATGGGAAACACAGGAATAAAGCTGCACAGGCTTCAGTTAACTGGATAGGCTCCTCCAGATAAAGCTGCTCTTTAGAAAACTTAGTTTACCTCAACAGCTTTGGACAGAGTGTTTTTGGCAGCACCAAAGAAATGGGCATATTTGATTAAGATCTACTCTAGGTTTCTCCCATATTCTCAAATCGTGACAGAGATGTGTTAGTCACACCAATGCAGCCAGGCACTCCAAGCTGCCTGGACTAGACAGGCTTCTTTACAAATCCGAGAGAAATCTTATTTACAAATCCCAGGAAACCCCGTGCCGTCTTTGTGAGAGGGCAGCACTGGTCCACACAAGCGCAGTGTGCTGCCCCCCGCCGTCAGATCCAGAGATCCAGCTCCAGACAGGAGAAAATGCAGCCACATTTCTAGGATCCAACAGCCATCTCTCTTCGCACAAAACAAAGTTAGGAATATGGATATTAAAATAAAATTGTCAGTTCTTGGAAGATGCATTTTGCTTCTCTTCTGCCACTCTCTGCTGTATGAAGTCAAGATAGAAAAGGTTTTTCAGAGCCCCATGCCAATTATTAACAGATAAGCAATTTCTGCCAACCACTCCAATCATGTTTATCTCAACCTTAGCTAAGGGTGTATTTGCCAGGGGGTTGAGGCGTATACACTGCCTGCTTCACACCAAACAATGCACAGAGAAAAAAGCCTGCAGATATACACAGCAGCACTGCAACTGAAAGGCAAGAACTATTACTGACCATCAGGCTGGTCAACAGATTTCCCTAGCATGCTGAAGATGACAAGTGTTTGATATACAGACACGCTCATCCAAGTGTCGTTCAGAGCCAGAGAATTATCTGATTTAAGTCACTGAGTGAATGTTACTATGATCACACAGTTATTAAAGTGATCAGGCCAGACAGGAGAGAATTAGCCAGGCCAATGGTTCAGTTTTCTTCTCTGCCAAGGCTTAAAATAACCAAGGAGTAAGTGCCAGCCACCTACCTGAGCAGCTGGTTTTTATCACCTGGGCTTTCCCTGAAATTTGTTGCCAAGTCTGACCTACAGCCAACACTGCAGCAGCAGTTTCATCTTAGACAACAGAAGATCAAGACTACAAAACCCAAACTGTAATTTCTATAGGTCTGATTTGCAATAAAATCCAAATTCTAGTTGTACAGTCAAATTGCATTTTCAAACAGGACTGGGTAACTGTAACAGCTATGACAGGTTATGCTGGAACATGAATAGATCTTGATGTAAAACAAAAAGTTAGTCAATTCTCTGAACCTGTTCTACTGGTGACAAAATGCTACCTTCCCATCCCTGGTTCACCCACCCCAGAGGTTTAATACACTATTGTGAAGTGCTTATCAACACCCTGAAGCAGAGGATATCGTTGTTTCACACAAGCAGTGAAACCTAAAATACAGGGACAAGGTGCTGCAGGGCCCAAAGGACAACAGAACTCCTAACACAACCCAAACTGCTCAGATTACTGATACATCTCCAAAAGCACTGCTCACTCTGAGAACAGCTGTACCTAAGGGAGCTGCTTCCATTTGCTCCTTTCCACAGTTCACCAAGGAGTCCATTTAAAGGCAGCCACACTTTGCAGATGAAAAGACACTGGCTTGCTCAGTCAGAGTGGTAATCAGGCTCTGTCCTGGGCTGTACATCTTGACTGATGACAAACTGGAGATGCAACTCAAGGTATGTGTTTATTTGTGTAAATATGTCAGAACTCGTATGAAGTACAGACATTCAGTTAAACAGAAGGGCCACTACCAAGAGCCTGCTCAGTTGAAAAAAGTTTGGGTTTTTTTATAGTCCATCATTAATTATAAGATACAGCCCACATCAGCAAGCTCTGAACTGTCAGCCTCACATCTTCTTTCAGAACATTGCTAGAGACAAGATACAGAATTAACTGAAGGTTCTGGCACAACTATAGGTGTGTCACAGCACGGGCACTTGTGAGCACAAAGTCAAGAATATCTTAATATGTAAAGAAAACTGTAGGTCCCCACATGGCTAAACAGGAGGGGGAGGGTTTGTGAACAGACTCCTTGCCTAGAGAAGACTGAAACAGTTTAGCCAAGATGAACAGAGCCAGGGCAGCAGAACCACTAGAAGCTCCACTTTGCCAGTTTTTGAGTTGAGAAAAATCATGGCTAATAGCCGCCATGATTTTAAGTCTATTTCTGTTTCTTCCAGGGTGGTCTTTTCTTGGCTACTTCTTCGGTCTCTCCACAGCATTCCTAACACTGGCAGGGGGCAGTCTGAGAGTTATTTCTTTGTCCTCTGTGTCATCATCCAACTGGGCAGCTTTCCGGCGTTCGAGCACTGTTGGAGTACAGACTGGAGTAGGATCCTGAAGAGATCAGAAAAACATGATTCATTGCAAAGCACCTGCCACAGAAAGTGGGCACTGCCCCTCTGGTACCAGAAGGCACCTCAGTCCAGCTCTCCTTCAGAACTTGCATGTTAGGGAAAATGGTTTTCTGTTTATAACTAGCTATTTCTGTAGACAGTATTTTGTGAGACAAAAGTCTCATCTTCAAGGAAGTGTATGTGAAAGGCAAATGTAAACTAATTCACATTTTCTAACATGTCATCCTGCACATTTGCTTTCTAAACTTCCTGTTTCCTGACTCAAAGCACTGAGAAAGCCAAGAGGAAAAGAATCAGGAAAAAAACCACAAACTTGAGACTGGCATACAAAAATGCCACATTCCAGCCCACAGCTGAGCTGCAACATCCCAGCTTTATTATGACAGTAAGTTCTCGGAACCCAGTTGACTGAACATGTGAGCTATTCTGTCTTCCTCACAACCAGCCCTGTCCTAATTATCACAAGTAAATCCAATAACACTAAAAAACAAATAAACAAAACAAAACTCACAACAGTGATGAAATAAACCAGAAACGTTAATGCCTGAGAGTTTTCAGACTGTGTCCAAACCTCAATCCTGATGGCCTGAGCTTACTTTTGATCCTACTGCTACTTTTAACTTGCATTAGTTTGCAAAATACTGGACCACCATCCAGGAGAGCCCAAGGGAGGAGGGAGAGCACAGCATGTAAATGGAGACAGAGACTGTAACAGCCCAACGTCAAAACAGGCTGGTATTACAACGTAGCACAGACCAACAGAAGGGTGCCAGCAAGGAGACCATTTTGTGTTGGTCTGAAGCACAGATGTAGGTGGTGTAGAGGTGACTGTCCCCAGCACCCTTTCTCCTGCTCCAGTGTGCTGAGCAGCAGAGCTGCTGCCACCCGGACACACCTCGAGACACGCGCTGCTGGTTCCACCACACTGAGCAGAAGCCTTTGCTGTCAACTGAGAGGAGCCAACCACCCTCCCTCGTCAAGAGTGCTAATGCATCTCAAAGGAGCTACTTTTGGCACAAAAATCTCTCAAGCAAATACTATCCAGGTTTCCAGGTGCTGAAAGGAATACGAAGAAACCAAGTGCAGACCTGTACCGTGGGCCAGTGTGAGTGGTGGGCTATGGTGCTGGGCACCACCAGGACTGTTCCATCTTACCTGGCTGCTCAAAGAAATGTTCAGTTTTGACTTCTTGGATGTTGCAACTTTTTTTCTCTTTATGGCAAGCTCCTGTGCAGCCTAGGAAGCAAGACAGACCAGGTGGATCACTACAACTTCCTTGTGTGAAGATGTAAATGGTCCCATAACAGTCTATAGGTCTCTTTGCTTCTTATAAACGAGATCTTGGCTACAGCCATTAAGTTTGAATTCATAAGTCACAGATCACAGAAGTGATCTGATTTGAACAAAAACACTCAAAGCAACGTGATAAAAGCTGCTTCTGTGCATTTAAAAAAAAAAAAATCACATTAAACAGCATTGCTTAAATTCAGGGACCTCACCCAAGCACTCTGCAAACCAGCAGCATGCTTGGGCTGCTTAGGCAAGGTCTAAAGATGGACGCTCCAGTCTTGGAGATTTCTGCCTTCCAACAGCCCCCCTGCCAGCTTCCCACAGGGCTGGGAAAAGCCTCCCATCACTATCCTGTGATCTATAGGCAAATGTAGAAACCACAGGACATCCCAGGGTTTATGCTGACTGAAGGAATGTCTTCCCTTCGCTGCTCCTTATTCCCTTCTCTCAAGGGAAACCCACACGTTCACACAGCACAACCCAGCAACCGCACCACACACATTTCCAGGAGCTTCCACACAGTCCTGAGATGATGCCCAACTCACAAATCCTGGGAAGTCATAATCCAGCCCCTTCTCAGCCAGCCTCTTGCGGAGGAGCTTCTCCTTCCGCAGCAGCCGCTTGGTCATCTTTGCCTTCTGCAGCAGGGAGCGCACCCGGTTGTACCGCCTGACCGCCGGCTGGGAGGGCTTCAGGAATATCTTGTTACTGCTTTTGAAGAGGTTTTCATGTACCCTTTCAGGAGGTAGGAACTGACCTGGGTCACAAACACAGGACATCAAGTTATAGCAGAGCTGCCCCTCTCACCAAACACACTCATGGGACGCTGCTCAGTTCTAACATTACCCGCTGCTACGACAGAGACCTGGTGCAGCACCCAGGGACACGGGAGAGGGAAAGGCACTGAGTGCTCATAAGTAAGACAACTGATCATGGATGGATGGAAGAAAAGAACACTTCTTCAGTTCCACCCAGAAAACAGTCAGATAAGGTTGGTTTTCAAAAGCTGACGCATCCATAGCTCGCAATCTTTCACAAAGCTGGTGTGGCTGTCACCTCGTTTGAGAAACTTGCTCATTTCATTCATCTGTTAATCAGAAAAGCCCCACGTGTGTGACTGCACAGCAGCTGCAACAGTTGCAAACAAGAAAGAATTTCCACATGAAAAGAACTGTTTCCACAGCAAACCCCACAGTTCCCTGCCATTTCAAGTCACACAATTAAAGAAGCATTATCAGCCTAGAGAGAAAAAAACCAAAACATTAGAGAAAAAAGGGTGTTAGAGACATTCTTGACACATGAAGAAAAGCAAGCAAAGCTCAGGGCCACAGAAAATCCTTTTGGTACAAAACTTCCCTTAAAAAAAACCCCAAGATTCTCCAAAGAGTCCAAAAAAGTAACAGAAGTAACTATGAATTTCTTCTGCAAGTTAGAGGCCTTACTCTTCAGCCTATACTTACACTTCAGCAGCCTTTCAGAAAACAGGTAGTTGTTCATTGTGTCTGCAACGATCTTAGCCACATCATCAGACTCAAACTCTATGAATCCATAGCCCTTGCTAGCTCCAGTCTGCAAGCAATGACAGGAAGAAACCTGAAATGACACTTCTGTACCTGCAGAGCTAAATCCAAACCGTTTCATGCTGCCAGAGTCATAGCCCATTCTCAGCTAAACACAAGTGATTTAATGAAGTTCAGTAAAATCATGAAAAACACCAGATTTATTCCTAAACATGCAATTATTCATAAATATTTATTTGCTGCTGTTCTGTTTTTACCAAGTGTACACAGCAATATTGTAACACAACAATAAATGCAGAAATGAGAAGTTACATTTATTGAGTGTACAGCAACAAGAAACCTAAACCAAGAGTATCTTCCATGACATTTCTTGTTCTGCCTTGAATCCCTGTATTCTGGCATCACTTCTCATGAAAGTGTATTTACTTATAGGAAAAAAAGAGGCTACATCAAATGTCGCTGGAACTGCTTCTCTGCAGCCACAGAACGGTTTGGGATAGGGGGGGACTTTTAAAGATCACCAGCGCAACCCCAGGGGCATCGCCTCACGGGCTGCCAGCCCGATTCCCCTTCCGGAAGGATTATTTCTGGGACAGCCCGCGCGGAGCCACCCGCTGCCCGCGCACGGAACCGCAGCGCTGCGGCGTGAAGCTCCACGTGCTGCGGCCCCAGGGCAGCGGGGCCGGGCCGGGCACACGCAGCTGCTGAAGGCGCCTCGGTAAGACGCGGACTCCCTCGATCCACCGGCTCGGCGGCTCGCCCAAGGAAGAAGTGTCAGCGACG